CTAGAAGCAATAGCACACAAATGAAACAAAATTTTAGTAGTGAGATACTTATATATTGTTGGTCATCAATGACTCAAATCATTGTCTGTTTTGACATCTTCATGAGAACATTGGTTTAATTAATTTGGTTTTAATATTATATACCATGTAATGTTATGTACCATCCAATATTATATACCAATATTCCATACTATGATATGTTATTTCCATATCCTTTTGCTATCATAGTATGAGAATTTGGAATCATATATATTGATGATTATGTCATCGAATTGTAACCACCACTATCTTAGTCTCATGATATTTGTGTTCTCTAGAGGGGTAATAAATGCTTTTATTTGTATATTGGAAATTGCTTCTTTAAAAAATAAACCATAATATAATATAATGTAGTGCAATGCAATTAAATAAGATACATTATGATGTGTTACCTGACAAAAAATTCTGTATAAAGGCACAGCTGCATAAGTGCATCCAAGAAGTAGCATACCGAATCCGCTCCAATATAAACGCGCGGACCGGAACTTTTTGGCTTGAGCGGCATGGTATTGACTAAACAATACTCGAGACACAGTAACACCTGCTTGTTTCGAGCACCCACTAAATAGTTTTTGGTATAATTTGAAATACATGTTGACTTGCCACTATCGACTAACGTAACCTAAAAGTGGCGACGAAAAAAAAGTTTCGTACAAACTTTCATGCAACGTGTTTTCATATGTAGACTTAATTTTGGAAATAAATCACCGACACATTTTGTTGATTACCTACCAATAATATTCGTCGAAGTAAATTACGTATGTACATCTGAAACCATGGACGCGGCCATTTTGATCGAACACGCACATGTCGCCATCAGTCGAGATATCGAAAAATTTAAATGTACTTGAAGTGTTGCATATGTACAACACGGGTACTCGCAAAACTCGAATCGGGTAATGTGTATTCGGTTTGAAGAATCGATCCAAGCCGAGTACTCGAAAGATCGGGCCGGCTCGACAGAATTGAGTAGCTCGAAAAAATTGAGTAGTTCGAAAGAAATCGAGCGGCGCGAATGTAAGCGAGCGGTTCGAATATAAGCGAGCAATTCGGACTCATTTCAAGCGATTCGCTATGATAGAGCGTCCTGAGTGATCTGAATAAACTTCTTCATGTACAATAAACATATTATACTACTGCTTCATTGTATTACTGCTTTATTTTAGATGTTTTTAGATATTTTTCTTTCGAGCTACAGTGATTTCTTTCCGACTGTCGCCGGATCCAAATTGTAAGCAGTTCTAGAATCGAAGTCGTGGTTCTTTGAGCCTCGCGACTCGCCTTTATAGTTGCCGTCATCTCGTGAGAGAGAGAGAGAGAGAGAGAGAGAGAGAGAGAGAGAGAGAACGAAACTATCTGGAAAGGAGCGGCCAGCATGCTGATGTACATTACTATGAATACATTGTAATGCTAGAATAAAAACGATGACTTAACTTTTTTATTTTTTATTTTTTATATATGAAAATTTTTTTAACATATCGATCAGATTTTCCAAATAAAATGAAACCAAACGTGACATACTTTAGGTGACATGGTTCGGTTCGATTACAGTGTGAGGACGAGCCAACGTGTTCGACGGTGAGTGTGAAGGATCAGTTTTAAAATGTAAACATGAAAAAAAAGTTATGTCATTGCGTTATGAGTTGTCCTCCTGGAATTCGAGTTAAAGGAGCCGCGTCGCGAACGCATGAAACGCTTGACCGACTCTGTCGAACCTTAGCATCGACGTAGCCAGAAAATCGATAAATTACAGGGCCGTAGCAATGTCAAGGCGTCAGTGATAATAGACCCGAATTACGTCATTTGGAGAAACAGAGAACTGTAGTTCCATTCGACCCGAGTTTTATTCTATCTTTCTCTTTCACGAGATATCGGCGACTATAAAGATGAGCCGCCAGGCACGAGTATCGCGACTTACTACTCTCGTATTCGACGGTTACAATCCCGACCCCGCGTCTTTTAGGGAGAGAATACTGTAGTTGCCGACATCTCGTGAGAGAGAGAGAGAGAGAGAGAGAGAACGAAACTATCTGGAAAGGAGCGGCCAGCATGCTGATGTACATTACTATGAATACATTGTAATGCTAGAATAAAAACGATGACTTAACTTTTTTATTTTTTATTTTTTATATATGAAAATTTTTTTAACATATCGATCAGATTTTCCAAATAAAATGAAACCAAACGTGACATACTTTAGGTGACATGGTTCGGTTCGATTACAGTGTGAGGACGAGCCAACGTGTTCGACGGTGAGTGTGAAGGATCAGTTTTAAAATGTAAACATGAAAAAAAAGTTATGTCATTGCGTTATGAGTTGTCCTCCTGGAATTCGAGTTAAAGGAGCCGCGTCGCGAACGCATGAAACGCTTGACCGACTCTGTCGAACCTTAGCATCGACGTAGCCAGAAAATCGATAAATTACAGGGCCGTAGCAATGTCAAGGCGTCAGTGATAATAGACCCGAATTACGTCATTTGGAGAAACAGAGAACTGTAGTTCCATTCGACCCGAGTTTTATTCTATCTTTCTCTTTCACGAGATATCGGCGACTATAAAGATGAGCCGCCAGGCACGAGTATCGCGACTTACTACTCTCGTATTCGACGGTTACAATCCCGACCCCGCGTCTTTTAGGGAGAGAATACTGTAGTTGCCGACATCTCGTGAGAGAGAGAGAGAGAGAGAGAGAGAGGAAGAGAGAGAGAGAGAGAGAGTAAGAGAGAGAAAGAGAGAGAGGAAGAGAGAGAGAGGGAAATAGAGAGGGAGAGAAAGAGAGGATGAAACTCGGGGCGAACGAAACTACCTGAAAGGCAGCGGCCTGCATGCCGTGGTGTACATCACTATGAATTCAACGGTCGTTGAGATTGGTCTTCTTGCTCACACTGGAAGTGATCATTTTGTGTCATTGTTGTTTACTACCAGTATCATTAATTTGTAGTGTCAAGTGTTACTATTAGTGATATTAATAGTTAGTGATATATAAATTATGGCAATTAATATCATAATTAGTAATCGTTCTTTTTAATCGTTTTACACTCTAAATTACATACGCATATCTTTACTATTAATATTATGGATTCAAAAAAGAAATATACGTTATTAAACATGCAGCAACGTTTGGAGGTCTTGAAGGATCTTCGAGAAAAAATGCCGTGTAAACAAATTGGAAAGAAATACGGGGTTGGCGTTCGAACAATCCAACGCATTCTAAAAGATGCTACAAAAGTTAATGAGTTTGCAGATAAAAGTAAACGCGAACTCAAGCGACGAAGAATAATAAAGCCACACTATGACGAAGTAGATAAAGAATTATGGTCATGGTATGAACAAAGAAGAACTCTTGGCGACCGTATAACCGATGCTCTAATATTAAAAAAGGCGATAGAATTGAAAAAAAATCTGCCGTCATGCTCGCAATTTAAGATCAGTCGTGGCTGGTTGTCAAAATTTAAAATACGTCATGGTATACGTCTCAGGGACGTGTACTGCAAGAAAGTTAAGACTGATCAGGATGAAGCATTTTTGAAAAATTTAAAAATAATATTGAGAGATGAAAATATAAGTTTAGAAAATGTTTACAATATATACGAAAGCGGACTTGTTTGGAAAGCTCTGCCGACGAAAACACTGATCGGAGAAGAAGAAAAAGATCTTAATGAACATCAGATGAAAAAAGATAGAATTGCAATTGGTTTATGCGCGAATGCGTTAGGCACAAATAAGATTATGCCACTTGTTATTTACAAACATAAAAATCCAATAGCTTTGAAACACGAAGTTTCGTTACCTGTCATTTTTAAATCGCAGCCAAATGCATGGATGGACAAAACATTATTTTTAGATTGGTTTGAAAACCATTTCAAACCGTCTGTGAAACAATATCAAGAGGAGAAACGAATACTACAGAAAGCGATCCTATTGTTAGATAATTGTGAAGCCTATAAAGTTTCGCAACAAGAAAATGAGGATATTAAAATTATATATTTACCGCCCAATACATCTATTCTGGAACCGTTGGATCAAGAGATCGTAGAGAAAACAAAAAGACTTTTCCGTCACAAGTTCTTGCAACGTGTTTTAACGTACGATGGAGGAATAAATGAATTTTATGCCAACTACACAATAAAAAACTGCATTGACATTTTATCCGTATCCTGGTCGGAAATTACGCAAGGTAATATTAAAAACGCGTGGAATAAAATTATTAATCCTACTGATCCTCCCATTCAATCGCACATGACAGAGTTTAAACCTGATTGGCAAGACATGATAAGTACGATCACAGGAGAACAACGCACCCCGTCACATGTTACGCAATATTTAATAAACTGTGAGGAAGCAGAAAGGAGGAACGAGGACGAAGAAATAAAAGAAGAAACGGAAGAAATTCAAGAAGGAACCCAAGAAATAATTTACGCAGAGAGCGATAACGAAATTGTGAACCATGAATTACACATGATATTTGAGAGATTGACATTTTACAGTGCAAGTGCGCCAATTTTTATACAATGCATAGTGCAAGGATTACAAATATATTTCTTAGGCAAGGAGCATTACATAAGGTATGTACAAATTTGCAGCCAATTTAAAAATGTGAAATATTCATAAATTAATTTTTTTTACATTATTTGTTATTAGGTAATAGGGGGAAACCACGATACATATCTCTACACAATTCGCCATAAAATAATTAAATATAAAATATAATTTTACACCTCTCTAATTAGTATATGTATAATTATGTATAATATCAATGCAGCTTTTTAATGTATAAATCTCGTAACCATGAATGCGATCAAATTGTATATTGGATATATCGATACATGTATCTACTTGTATAGAATGAATACATTTCAAGTATAATCATTGAGACTTTATATTAAAAATACTATATAGTTATTATTTATTTGTATAATAATGTATTTTTATTGTATAGTCACAGCGATATTAGAATAAAATGAATTACGCAATAAGTATTCAATAAATAAATGTAATCGAAATTGTATCGTATTCGATTTTATTTTAATCGGAAATATTTGTCCAAACTATATTATGTTTAATCTCATTTTAATCAGAAAACCATCAGCAATATGTTAAAAAAAATTCAGTTTTAAGATGACAAAATCAAAACAATTGTGTCATTGCATTACGAGTTGTCTTTCGGGAATTCGAGTCAAAGGAGCCGCGGCACGTGCCGCAGCACACGTGTTCACCGGCTCCGTCGAACCTTAGCATCGGCGTAGCGAGAAAATCGATAAATTACAGGGCCGTAGTAATAGTACCGCGTCATTCATTGCATACCAAGATTTCGACATCTGGGGAGAGAATACATAATGTATAAAGGCGAGTTGCGAGACTCGAAGAATCGTGTCTTCTATTCCTTTGAAATACACTTTCAATTTCGACCTCGCGACTTTTAGGGAGAGATTACTGTATATTGAAATATGTTTAAATTTTCAGTCGTGCGTAATTTCTCGTCTGATTACATTGTATGCCGTTGGCCAGTCGCTGTGCCTTTAATATTCAAGGCTCGGAGTTTGGCTATAGATGAAACTGGCCTCCAGTTCGTACAGTAGTGTCTCTCTTCCCGGCGTAACTTGAGTATGCCAATTCTGACACCGAGACACAGTAATGTCTCTCCAATTTACGCTCAGATTGTCCACAAAAATGGACGATTTTTGTAAGAGGAGATGCGATCATTCGAGCCTTGCGGTTCGTTTTTATATTTACGAATTGTCAAGATTATGTTAGGGTTATGGAAGGCTCGAATAATCGTATCTTCTCTTCCCAAATTGTCCATTTTTGTGCACGATCTGAGCGTCAGTTAGGGAGACATTACTGTATTACTACGGCCCTTTAATTTATTGATTTTCTTGCGGCTCCGTAATTGCGGTTCCTTTGACTCGAATTCCCGGAAGACAACTCATATAATGCTATGACATAACTTTTTTTTAATTTTAACATTTTAATACTGATTTTTTTTTAACATATTGCTGATAGTTTTCTGATTAAAATGGGACCAAATATGATATAATTTGGACAGATATTTCTGTTGACAATAACATCAAAGAGACGATAGACGTTGCACGTAATGGACTACCAAGATGCACGTGACTTGCGGTGGAGAAGAGTTTAGGCAAAGTTACTGCCTTTACTGATGTTTATTTCATTCTCCCAAAAAATACAAATTTGTCGCCTTAAATACTATTTTCTGATGCTTTGGAACAATCAATCGGATGCAAGGACGACTATGATCAGTGCGCTGCTGTCACAGTTTTCGCAAGTATGGAGGGTGGTCAGGGAGTTCGCGGTCGCTAGAACCACCCTGGCTATGGTATGATGCGATGAGCAACCGCGTGAGCCACATCTGCAACGTTTGTTGCGCTATTGGCGCTGAGTTTCGAGGACGTTGAATGTCGTGTTCTTTCTCGATGTTCGACCTCTTAAAATTCCAGGGTTAATGGAAAATGTACAGAAAACAATTCCTTCACACTCTCCACGCGTAGGCTCGTCTTCAAAACGATGTCGAACTTTTCCCATGCCGGCAAATTCTAAACCAGAAACTCTTCCCTTCTCGGCGTCTCTTACCCATGGACTTCGAATAGCGTAACTTCACTGTATTTTCTTTCGAAAAACATATGTACATATCTTCTTTGACCACGCCTTTAATATTTCATATGTCAAAAATCGGGTTTTCTAATGCTTTTTTCGCAAATAAAATAAGTTACTTATTACATATAATGAATAAGAATGGTCTAAAGTGTTCGATATCATTTTAATTGGAAAATGTGATCAATATATTAAAAAAATTTTCATGTATAAACAATTACAAATAAAAAAGTTAAGTCATCATTTTTATTCTATCACTACAATGTATTCATAGTAATGTACACCGGCTGTCACCGATGCTGACCGCTGCCTTTCCAGGTAGTTTCGCTCGACCTGAGTTTCGTTCTGTTTGTCTGCTGTTTGTTTGTCTGTCTGCCTGTCTGTCTGCCTGCTGTTTGTCTGGCTGTCTGTCTGGCTAGCTGTCTGTCTGTCTCTCTCTCTCTCTCTCTCTCTCTCTCTCTCTCTCTCACGAGAGAGTTCTGATCCTTTCGTATCTAACATATGAATACAGTAAATTCTCTCTAATTGACGCTTAGCTTGGAAACAAAAATGGACAATTTGGGAAGAGGAGATACAATTATTCCAGCCTTGCGGCTCGTTTTTATAGTTGTTGACAATCGGTAACTATAAAAACGAGCCACAAGGATCGAATAATCGTATTTCCTCTTCCTAAATTGCCCATTTTTACGTACAAGCTGAGCGTCGATTAGGGAGAATTTACTTGCATAAATTATATTATAAAAGTATCCACAAAGATAAGAGAGCTTAGACAAATTATGTAATAACAATACTAAATTAGATATTTCTAATATAATTTTTTACGATTTTTCGAACCTGTTTGTCACGGAATATTTGTATATTATTGTGACCAAATCACGTTCCAATATCTGTTATGGTTATAAAGTTATACAAAAACGGCATTGTATTCCTCAATCCATACCTCTGAAAATAATTATAATTATTATAAATAATTATAAAAATATTTGTTTGCACGCTTGAGATGCGTAGTTAGCTTTTCGGTAATTTTTATATGCGTTGATTGCAAAAAGATTACTCGCTTATGTATTTTACATACATATAAAATACACATTTGGAAAGTAAAAGATAGTTCGTAAAATCATATTTAAACAATATTTTTTATCAAAAAATATCAACCAAAATTGATTAAAAATTATTGCCTAACAAATGCAATAAATATCAAATTATCCAAAGTTAAGAATGATTATTTTTTAAATATTTTTAGTCAAAATTTCATTGCAATAGCTCCAATGGTATAAACAAATGTATAAACAAATGTTATAAACAATTGTATATGTACTTCTATCTGCTGAATTGAGTTTCTTTTTCATTCTTAATGGAAAACGGCAATGGCTCCATCTCGTATTTATCAAGCAGCTATACACCTCCTGATAATATCCTTTATGTATCGACAGCAGATACCGACCTGCTGAATCCGTAAAGTCACATGGCTATTCTAGCCCCTTAAGTACGACTGCCACGCCGATGTGTGGCGTTTTCAGCAATTGTTTCGTTTATATTTTGAAAATGTAACATGATTTGTAACTTCTAGTAACGCTATTTGTATTTCGATATTTCTCTGCATCGCGTGAAGTAATTAGATTCTATTTTACACGTTTAATTGTTTAAATAAATGAAGAAATGTTCGCATCTTATTTAGAAGAGTCCACAAAATACTGTCCAAATAAAAACAGTTATTATTCTATTACGAAATAGAAAATATATGATCTTTTAAAACTGATTTTTACTACTGTAATAAATTAACATGTTACAGAAATAAGATAAAAATTGTTGTGATGATCTTATCGACAAATGCAACATTCGGTGTTGAATTGGAAGGTTCAACAACGAAAATTTCAATTTGAAAACATAAGAAACAAGTAATTGGTTAATACAAATGGACCTAGACTAAATAGGAAACTCGATTGAACAAAATCTAAGATATATGTATATAGCTGTAACAAGAAAAATTGTCCAAGTTTTAACAACAACAAGTTTTAACAATTTAAGGAATAAATAAATAGGACGTTTAGATTTGCACTGATAAAAATATCATTCGTCATAATAACGTACAATCGCATACAATTTTAAACAATATAGAATAGAATATCGTAATTTAATTACGATCTTTTACCTCCTCCACAATACCTATTAGACTTTGATCCAACTAATTCTCACTTATTTCGATGACCGTATTTCCAAGAAATGAGGGGTACCCGAGGTCATTTGAAGCAACTTTTTCCTTAGCGAAAATGCGATCCGCGGCGTTGTTTACGAGTTATTAACGAAAAACAGTGACCAATGAGAGGCAAGGGCGTGAAGTTCGAGAGCCCGCAGCACGTGGCTTTGGCAGAAGGTCGGGACGGATTCGGGCCGCATTCGAATACTTCGTAACAGTGATGTTTTTAAGAAAAACGCTGTTCACCGTTACACTTTAGAACGTCTGAAGAATATTTACTAATTTTTCGGAGCCGAAATAGTAAGTAGTTTAGCCCCGTGTCAGCTGTTTTAATTATTAATCGAGCCGATTACAGTGAAGATTTCTTCAGTTTTTCTCGAGTCAACGTCGCAATGTATTCCTCGCAGGAACAGTATCGTATCTTTTTGGTTTTCGTGGAGTGCGGCGGAGATACGAACGAAACAGTGCGGTCCTTAAGTGAAGAGTCTCCGAAAATCCAAAGGATTCGATATGTGAGAAAATTGCAACATAATTTTGATCACGAGGGAGTTGTGGATTGCGGCGACAACGAAGCCGGACACTGAAAGCAGAGGAAGCAATCCTTGATTAGATGGAAGCAGATGACCCCGTAAGTCTGGCAACGAGATGAATCCGAAGGACATCCGCACATCTTTCCCGATTGTCGAAGATTAATTAAGTGGCCAATGTTTTGTGGCAGTGATATGAAAGTGAACTCATTGTCGAGGATTAATTAAGTGGTCAGTGCTTGGTGATAATGTTGTAAAAGTGAAATCCCTGTTTACCGTGCCGTTTCTACCCGAGGTCCCTCCGATCGCATCCCTTCCTCGGTAAGGCCATCGACCTGAGATCCACTGAACCTTGAGCGAGGTCAGTGCATCGACATCGTGAATTGTGATCGACATTTCCAAGCAGCAAATGCATCCTCGTCGAAATGGGTAAGTTTACTATTAATCATATTCTTCACAATTCTTAACACGTTGAATGCCACGGGGGTCACCGGTGACCGGCACTTAACTTGGCGGTGACGCCATGGGGGCCATCGGTGACCGGCGCGCCTAAATTGATAGGAATACATATAATTTCAAACAAATGTCCATGTCTAAAATTTTGTATTATTACCATCGTCGTTTCAAACAGTGACCCCTGTCCCAATTAACATGTCAAGCATGGTTATATACACTGTAACTTATCTATTGCAGATAATATTTCAACATTATATGTATCGCATAAAAGAAAATTCATCGTGGCGCCACGGACAATTTCTGTAAAACCGGCGCGTGGCATTCAACGTGTTAAATAAACAGATCCATCGTGTTCTTTGACGCGATTTATTAGTGAATCAGCTTTGCGAATCGTTCGTTGAATTCTGTTTGGATACGGAATTATTGAAACAAAAATATTTTTTCCGCGGTTTTGACGGGATTTGTTATTGTTAATCTTCGCTGTAATCTGCTCAATTAGTAATTAAAACGGCTGTCACGGTGAAACTACTACTCTGAAAAATTAGTAAATATTCTTCAGGCATTCTAAAGTAAAGGTGAACAGCGTTTTTCTTAAAAATATCACTGTTAGCAAAAAAAAACCCTAAAGTTCACGCTCCATGACTTATTCAATACTTCGAACGCGGCTCGAATTCGTCCCGACCTTCTGCAAAGCCACGTGCTGCGTGGCAAATAACTCGTAAACAAAGCCGAGGATCGCGTTTTCGTTAAGGAAAATGTTGCTTTGAATGACCACAGGAATCCTTCATTTCTCGATATCGAATACGATTGTCGAATACGATAATTTTGGGACACCCTGTATAATTCTTTTAACACATTATGTCACGACAGTTACTGGTGTGAAACAGACAAATAAATATGCTACGCAGTATACTTTCGTGCAATCCAATACTTACTACGATTCAGTATTGTATTATTTTTTTTTTTAGTAAACAAGGCACATATTCCATCCAACTTGAGCACATTCAATATTTCACTTATTACTTGTAGTAAACAAAATTATAGATATTTTGTCAATCTTGAACAATTATTGAAGTACTCTCAATTGTTGGTCTGTGATTTAAAATATGTACAATGTGTACATATGTATTTTCATTATTTTTCATTCCAATATTTATGGAGTATAAATATTTGAAATACTATTTTAAATAATAGATTCTTCGCAATTCAAATAAAATAGTACTTCAAGTAGGATAGAAAATTGCAGTAGATAAAATATTTTATTGCGATAATCTACAGCCAAAGCATAGAGGAAACTTCGTTTCCGTTACTCTTCTCTATTCCGCGGTACCGACCACGTGGCGACGTAGAGAGAGAGAGAGAAAGAGAGAGAGAGAGAGAGAGAGAGAGAGAGAGCTGCGTCCAAGCAAGCGTTTCCCACTTAATGCGAGTTCTTTCTTTAACTTTGTAACAGAAACCAATAATCAACAAATCACAGTTATGGAACCAATGTGATCTCGGTTCTGGTGAACCAAACGCGAAACCGGTACCAACCAAAACCGATCTACCTTGCAACAGTTACGAGACTTTTTCGGGTTCTTCGTAACCGTTTCAAGAACCGAAACCGATATCACAACTGGTTTCAAGCCCTGTGCGAGATTCCTCAAAGAATGACCACGATGCATTCACGCCCCCTCTTATCCAGGTATATATCGATTTTCTCACAGGTAACAGAGTAACATAGTCGAGTTACTCCTAAGAGACCAATTGCCTCGAACTAAATCGCACTCAGTTACTGATGCACCGGCAAACGGGACGCGTGGCGGTGTATGACCGCTCGAAGTTCACATAAAAAAGAATCAAACTACCCCATATCAAACTCCCCATAGAGGCGGAGAGCAGCGTGTAACGTGAACGAAAGGGAGCCAAGACCTCGACGACGAATTATATACTTGTTTTCGGCAGAGGTTGCCAGTGCCGTTCGTGACGAATTTCTTCGGATCGGTGCACGACTAAAAATCTGAGAATACTGTGAAGCATAGGACACATCCAGCGTGTCGTGATTTATCGCGATAAGAGCGAGAAGATATATGGTCAGCTTCGAAATGCAGTGACCGGCTGCAGGCGAGAATTAAAGTACTTTTGGGGCGGGAGAGGATGCGGACTCGTGGCTCGTCTCGCGAATTGTTTGTTTGATCGAAACTGGCGGACGTCTCGACAAGTCGCGGGTGATCCGACAGATCCTAACATCCAGAAAGGAGGAAACGAAGGGAACAGTGAGAGAGTTACAGCACAGCGTTCCGATCAACGAAACTGAATATTGATAGCGTCTCGAGCTCTTACACGTGTGTACATCTAGATACTTGTACGTATCCACTTTATGAGCCAATCTGAATTACCGTTTCGGTCACTTTGCGAACGAGAAAAGTTGTAGGAAAAATTGTCGGATGCACGTTGCACGATAAAAAGAGGACCATTGTACGGTAACAATGAATTTTTTGCAAGCAAAGTAGTTACGAGAATTTCATCATGATTTCGTTCGTGTTTAGAAATGGAATTACAGTTTTATGGAAAGGAAAACAAGGACTCGTGATACGAGCAAGTTCATATTATTAGAGTCAGGAATTCTTCTGTTTGATGCAATATGTACTATTATTCACACAAATTGCTGTTTTATTCATTTTTCAAGTTATATGCTATAAATGCATGTTTACTTGGCAGGAGAATTTATGTTTATAAGTCTATGTAGTCACTATAGCAGAAAAAATGATACTAATAATATAAATGAAAAAACTGATGATCGTTTGGTATATGTTAAGTAATATAATAATCTAATCTTGTGATGTTAGTGTGGTAAAACCATCAGTTTACAATACAAAGTGAGCAATTGACACGTTGAATGCCTATACATCATTTAGTTATTCACAGCAATAGTTGATAACAATTATTAATTACACAGGAGTACAGTTTTCATTTCACAGTATCATTTAATTCATTATAATATCGAAATAATACTCAGTATTCGATAGATGATATTCGAATAACCATTTTATAG